CAACTTACATGCCTCTTTCATGTTTTTCTTTAAATTGTTATTGCTGATGTTTATCATCACCAAGTACTTCGATTCTTTATGGTTTATTTTTGTTTTTCGTTGTTTTTGCTATCGATGCATTTCTTCTCTGTTGCACTTTTTCTCGTTGCTCTAACTACCTCCTATAAAAACTGTTCGTAAAACATTTTTGACGACATTTCAATGTTGCTTCTCGTCAGAGTTAAGTCGAGAGAAAAAATAACGTTTTAGAGTTGAATTGTGCAATCAGATGTTTCCTCATATTTTTTGTTTATATGCGGTTGGGTGATCATGAGCGGTTCAATTTGAATTTCATATTAAGATCATCTGCGTTTTTATTCAAGTCTGTTCGATTTGTGTATAGCCACCCTTTTTCTGTAAAATCTCGAAATGTCTAAGTTCTAGGGTTTTCTAGGTCAGTTTGAAAGTTTATCTAGTTTCTGAACTCCATCCGCTTTGGAGGAAAGTTTCTGTATGAACTTGTTTCGAGATACTTTTACCACAAATTCCTCGTCTTTTCTGTTCTGTCATTATCCTTTTGAGGGTCCTCGTGGAGACGAACGAATCGAGAGAACTAAACTGCTTATTGTATTTTGAAGCCGTAATTTGACCAGAGAAATGATATCACAAACCACTCTTGCGACGACGAGATTTTTTGTTGTAGAGTGAAGAGCCTAATTCAGTTTGGACATTTTCAAAAGAAAGTAGATAGAGATGGATAGCCGAACGAGATGAACAAATAACGAAGTGTATCACTATTATCATGTTTGTATGGTTCTGAGGAGCTTTATTTTCAAAATGAAAGGAAGGGGCCGGTAGTATTTTGAGTCTCAGTTTGTCTAAAAAATTGTCTGCATGATGAAGTTTTAAAGTCATTTTGATGAAGATTTTTATCCAGCTGCACTAATCAGAGTGCAATAACCGCAAGAACCGGGTACAAATACCTCACAATATTTGGATAATTGGTTATTTGGTACGGTCAAAAAAACCCAAATTAAAAAAAATGTTTTGACTAAACACGCTAAGTCTTTTATCAAAGTTGAAAGCCATCTACTTAAAATACACTTATGTTTGGGGTTTGGGTCTCAATTGATACGTTCATCAGTGCTTATTCTCTTAAGGCGTTCAAGTGCCTTTCAAGGCCATAAAAATAACCCATAAAACAGACGAACAGTGTCAGTCAAGT